CTATTATATAAGTATTATCTATTATTAATTTATTTATTTTATTATTAATTTTATGTAACATTATTTTATTATTTAAAGATACTATATCTGTTCTATAATTTTAAGTATCAAAGTATTAACATATTAAATAAAGAATAAGTTTTAAAATATAATCTCTTGTCTGCTTTTGATTTAGTTTTCTGTGTGGATTCTATTTCAAATAATATTGCTATATATCTTAAATCTTCTGTGTGAATTTTTCTGATATAATATTATATCCTGACTTTTCTGTATGAATTATCTGGATATATTATATTACATAACTAGAAGGTTACATTTTTATATTTAATAAATCTCAATATCTAATAACTTAATTAAAGAAGACAAAATTATAATTTTATTTTGAAAAAATAATCTATTAATATTTATCTGAGATATAAATTTTTTTATTCTAATTCATAATTAAAATTAACTTATAATTTTCTTGTTCAAAACTTTGAATTAAAATTTATAAAAGTAGAATTATTAATAAAATATTTAGTTTATATTAAAATATATAATTTAATTTAAAGTAATTTTAAAATAAATTATATATTTTAATATTAAGTAAATTATTTTATTAATAATTCTTATAAAATATAACTTATTTATTTCTGAATTAATTAATAGTTTAATAATATTATTATTATTATATTTAAATTTAAATATTAAATAAAAGTCAGATTTTTTCTTTATAAAAATTTAAATTATAAGTTATTAAATATTTATATATTTATAAATTCAAATTAATAAAAATAATTATTTTTTTATATTTATATAATTAAATTACTAATAAATTTTTATTCAAACTATTCAAAATTATTCTATTTATAATATTTATAAATATAATAATATAATAAAATTTAAAGAATTCTTAAGAAATATAATTTAAAAATACTAGATTTGAAAATAAAATATAATAATATTTATATATATATAATATATTTTTAATTTAATTAAATCACATTATTATTTAATATATGTTCTTTTATTAAATCTGACTTTTTATTATAAAAAATATATTTATAAAAGATAAATTATAATTAATTAATTTAATTATTCTAATAAAAAAATTCTTATCTTTTAAATTATTAAGATAGCAAAAAAAATATATATATATTTTATGTCAAGTTTTTGAATAATATTTATATTTTTATTATAATTATTTATTTAAAAAGTTGTACTATATGTATTAGATTCAATTATTCTAATAAAAATTTATCAGTTTTCATTATTTTATATATTATATAAGTGCTTTACAAACTTGAACTTTCAGGCAAGATAGTTTTTTTACAATTAAATAATATTAGTCTTATTATCAGAGTTCAGAAATATATAAACAATTTTATAATTTCTCTCACTTATATTAATTCTAATCTATTAATAAATTAATAGATAGAGATAATAATTTATTTATTATTTGAGTCAACTTAATATATAGATATGTGATTTTATATGCACCAATCATATCTTTGCACGTGATCGGGGGCGCTGAAAATTTCACAATTACTATTAAAATTAACATTATGAAATAATAATAAATTTTGATTATGTATATCGATCCGTCATATTATTCTCTTGAAATTAAAAATCGAAAACATCTAAGAATTTTAAAATAAATCATATAAAACAAATTAGTTTTTTAAACTCAGACAGAATATTCTCCTCACCAAGAATAATAGTTTCGGCATACTGAAGAATTCTGGACAACCACGCCAGAAGGATTATACAAAAAACTTTTTATGTAGAATTCTTTCGTCTACGAGAATGGTTCAACCACAGATAATGATTTGGTTATTTCACCTTCACGAGTAAGAGAAGTTATCAAGGTAGGAACGACGGCTTACGCTTTTGAGCAAAGTGTGCTATTCAAAGAAAAATTACTTGCATAAACAAAAGAACAATTGGCATTAGTTGAAAATGAGAGTGAAATGTTAAAATGTTGATTGGAGTGGACGAAGTAGGGAAATAAAAGCTTGAAGAGAAAGTCGGAAAAACGAAAGAATTAGAGGAGAAGAATTGGGATTTGAAGAGAAATTTGATGGAATTTGAGAAGAGAAAAAAGTTGTCATCGTTGTCTTCATAAATCTGAAAATACCTATCAAGATGGACAAGAAGAAAGGAGAATACAAAGATACGGCAACTAGAGGAGAAGATTTGAGAAATCACAATGAGTGAAACGTCGAAAATTTACATGAGAAAATACAGTTGGGAAAAAAATAAGTTCCAGGAATCTCAAATCAATCGGTTAAGACAGCAATATTTAGCTGCTCCAAACGTTGCGGATTCGGAAAATTCTGCGAAGAAAACGAATGGTTTGTTGCGGCTCCGCGAAGAAAATGATTTAATTGTTCGTGAAAAGAGGTTTATAACCCATGAAAAAAGAGTTTCTTAAGCAAGAGCACGAATTATAAGAGAAAACCTGAAACATCACCTTTATTATCATTTTAGTTTTATTGGCTCGCGAGGTGGTGACTTAGTAATATGATACCTTTAAGCGATCTTTTAGAAATTTAATTTTGTTTACTTAACATCTGAAAATTTAAAAAATTCCAGTGGTTATGGGGACTTACAGTGCTGCAAATCAAGATATTAATTAGGTTTTTGACTTTATTCAACGTATTGGTATGACTTTATAATAGATATGCTACCGAGCATTGAGATGATTAGTCTAGCATTTATATTACTGTACGTAACCCGCCGATACATTATATGGGGTTTGCGTTATTCGGGACCTATGGACGTTACTTGAAACCATTTTTACAGGTTTCGCAATTAAAAAACATACTTAATTACGTATGTCATAAACATGTGCAGCAATTAATCAATACGCAGTGTGTTCACACATATCATTATTATCATAAAAATTGTAATATAACCTATGACCCCCCCCCCCCCTTTTTTAACAACAGAAAACTTTTATTGACTTTACATTTATTTCAACAATTACTGTTGCTTACTGCTTTCGCCTGGAGAAGATAAGCGTTTAGAGACAACGAATAAGTTCATAAAACCGCCTTTTTAGAAAAACATTAGATGTGATGAACTTTTATTGGTTTCCTAATGTTTGTATTCTATATAATTGCTTGCGTTTTCGAATATCTATTTGTCTTATATGTGAATGGGAAACCTAATCTGATCCTGTGAAATTTCTTCGTATTCCTTTTCAATTGATTCTAAACTATTTTACAATTTTATTTTACTCTAGCTCTCAACTGCGCTCATTTTTAAATCGATGTAAACTCGTTTGCGCTGATATTCAGCCAGTGCAACAGCAACTTCCTCATCCGTTTGAACTTGCTTCCAGAACAAATTAACACTAGTCAAATACATCTGTTGATGGCCATAAAAAGCATAGTATATTTCATTCTGTTGAAGAACATTCTAATGCTTTATAAGTATTCACTCTGCAGAGCTTTGGCCACTTCTTTCATTTTTATTGACACGTCTGACTTTAAAATCGCTTTCAGGGAATTAGCAAACCATTGGTGAAGTTCTCTTTTTATCTTTAAGTGACAGGATTTTTCTCTTTTTAACAAATATCAAGCAGAGAAAAATCCAAGCAAGGAAGTAAAAATCAAGATTTTGCATGTTTTGTAGTTTTGCACATTCGGGATTTCAATAAGTTTTGAAAGTACATACTTGATCACATGGAAAAAATTTGAAGTAATAATCACAACGCAAAGTTTTGATTGATGATTGATTCTGCTTTATATTGTCACGAGAACAAGATGTAATTCAAGGTGTTCTTACTCTTTCTAACCCGGCCATATCAGTTATTTGTGCAAGCACTGTTATTCATCAATTGATGAGTTATCCGGAACGGCATCGAAAAGAGTTAGGAATATTCTTTGGAATCAATAAAAGAAACTGAAAACTGTGATTAAAATATTTGCAAAGCAATAACGAATAAATGCATATATAATGAATGTATTTAAAAAACCAAATCATAGAAGATATAGCTTTATTAATTTTTTTGTAGCTACGTAAATAGCCTTGCTATGTAAGTGAAAATGGGCCAGAGCCAGCTAAGAAAAATAAATATTCAGTTTAATGAATAGATAACTTTTAAAGAGGAATATGCTATTTCCTAAGCCATAAATAGCAGTTGCATCTCACTACTCCATATTATTACCTAAGCTATCATTATTTTTGCAATCTATCCACAAATCAATCTGATCTTATGTACTAATCCCTCTTGATATTTGTTTCATAAAAAACCTTGAACAGTTATCTTCTTAATATTCCCTTCAAGTACATGACTTTTTCATTGTAATAGTAAGATACATCTCCAAGATATATCTGTTTTCAGCTTTTATTCAGTAGAAAATTTGCTTAAATTGAATCCAACTGGTTAAGCTAATGCTTGTAAAGATTATTAAACCTAAATCTACACTTAAAAAATAATATTGATCAAAATTTCTAGCATGTAAAGCATTGAGTTGTCAATTAACTCTGACTTATCAGAAGAACTATCAGAAAATGAATCTGTTGATGAGATTGATCCATTTTACTTTGTTAGTCAGATCCTCTTTAATTCCATACTTTGGATAAATATATTATATCAATTAATTCATTTTGGAGTGTTGTGATAAATCCAAATTCAGTAATTAGATCAGTTTTATTAAGTCTTATAGCCATATTATCGAAATTTCTCTTGCTATTCATGATATAGTTAGCATCATGTATATTGATCTTTATAATTTTTTATCTTTATTTTGCCAGATATGCAAAAATTTTACTATATTCCTATTGATTGTGCAAAATTATCATGTGACAGTCACCTTTCTTTGAGAACTATATATATTATCATATAATTTTTTTAACATATTAATATAAATCAAGATATTACTAACATAAAATACTGGTTAAAGAAAGCTTACAAGAGATTTAAAGAAGAATTAAAGAAATAATTGAGTAGGCTAAAAGATTTGAGAAGAAAAAATTTGAAAGAAAATTATGTGAGAGAAGGAAATATTAGATAAAAAATTGATGTATTTACAGAATAATGTTATTTTTTTTGGAGAGATCAGATAAAAAAATGAACAAAATATTAGACTCAGATAATTAATTTATGACTTTGACATTGGAAATATAAAATATAATATAATAAATTTATAAAAATTTACTTCTTATTTATCTTTTTATCTTGTAATATTACTTTTCATTCAATTTATCTATATTAATTAGATTTGAAAGATTGTTATAGTAAAGAATAATATATGTGAAGCCAACTACTTGATTTTCTTTTGAACTAATTATATTTATAAATAAATACTAAATATAAATATAAAATTAAAAAAATATAAAAGAATTCTATAAGAGAGTAAGAATCTTATCTATTTCAAGTAAAATTATGAAATTAAAGAATTAGATAAAGAAACAAATCTAAGAGTTTATTATCTATTTGAATTATTATTAAAAAATGTCTTAGAAAATTCTATTATCCTTTAATATCCTATCTTTAAAAATTTTTCAAGAACTATAAAATTATAATATCAAATAAAATTAATTATAACTTTATTCTGATAGTGATTAAATTGATAAGAGATATATTAAATGATAAAAATATAAAAAAAATTTAAAATAAAATTTCAAGAATATTATAATATTAGTCTTAATTACTATATAAGTAATATAATAATATCAGATAGCTCTTTTTTTTCTCAAAGTGACAAGTTATAATAAGTATTTTAGAAGTAAAACTAGAATTAGAATTAAAAAACTACTATTTATATATTCAAGCTTGTATTTTCTATATGAAGTATATTTTAAGCTTTTTTTTAATCTTAATTAAAATCTCTTTATCATATTTTTTTATTATATCTTGCAGATTAGTATATTTAGTTTTTTTTAAATTTTTTTTCTTCTTAGAACTATATATTAATATTATAATTATCATATTTTCTGATAACAAAGTTTTATATAATCTTCTAATATTACTTTTTTATTTTTATTATTATTAAGAATATATGAATTATTTGTTTAAATATTTTATATATTTAAAAAAGTATTAGATATATTAAACTTCTATTATTTAGATTCTTATAAAATTCTTTTCTTGTAATTTTCTATTTATTTAGATTTTTAATAAAATAAAAGTTTAATTTAAATATCTGAAATAAATATATAAAGATAAATTACTTTTTCTTATTAAATAAAAAGATAATAGTAATGATATCTATCTATTAAGAAAATTACTTATAATATTTATAAGATAATATAAAGTAAAAATATATAAATTTATATTAATTTAGATATTTGCTTCTCAGCTTTTTAGTTATTAAAGTATTTTAAGTAATTATAATTTTAGTAAAAGATTTATATAAATTTTTAAAACTATAATAATATCTTATTTTATATAAATAATTAAGTTTAATCTTAGTATTTTGTTCTTATATTTAATATTTATTTTTATTAGTTTTAAAATATTTTTAATAAATAAATAAATAAATTAAATTTTTTAATATCTTAAATTTAATGTAAAGTAAATAATATTATTATTATTAAGTTAAAATTAAGTTTAATTTTTTATTCTATTTATCTTTAAAATTTAATATATATAAATATAATAAATATAAAATTATTATAACTATTTTTATATAATAAATAAATTTATAATAATTAATTATTTATTAAAATAAAAATATTAAAAGCTAATAAAAAAATATAATTTATATATTTTTAAATAGATTTCTTTTAAAAAACTTATTAATCTTAATTATTTATAAAGAATATTTTAAATTAAATTAAATTATTAAATATTAAAAATTTTATATTCTTATTATTTTTAAATTATTTACTAATTACAGAATTTTTAATTTATTTTTTTTTTGAATTTTACTATTTAATTTAAAGAGTTAAATATAATTCTTATAATTAAATATTTATTTCTATATTATAGTAATATAAAGTTCTTTAATTTAATAATCTTTTTTTGCTAAAAATTTATTTTTCATTATTTTATAATTTATTATATAATTATTTTATTTAATTATATTTATATTATTTATTATATCTTAAATCTTATATTTATTTTTTAATATTATATTTATTTTTTTTCTTATTTTTATCTATATTTTTATTATTTTAAATTTGAAAATTATATTTTTAATTATTAATATATTTATTTTATATATATAATTATTTTTAATATTATTTAAAGATTAATTAGTTAATATATTTATAAATTTCTTTTTATATATTTATTTTTTTTATATTTACTTTTTTAATTTTGATATCTTAATATTAAAAGCTTAATATTAAAATCTTAATATCAAAATCTTAATATAAGATTATAATTTAAATATTAAACAAGTAATATTATAATAATTTTTATATTCAAAAATATATAAAAGAATCTGTTTTTAAATAATTTTAAATTAAATTATTTGAAAAATATAATTAAAAACTTATTATTATACTAATAATAATTTTTTAATTTCTTTTTTAATTATATTAGTATTCTTTTTCTTACTTAACTTTATTCTTTTAATTATATAAAGTTAATTTTGAATTTTTATTAAAATTTTATATTAATTTTGATTTGAATTTTGACTTTAATATTTTTGATTTTAATATTTTTATATTTTTAATTTGATATTTTAATTACATATCTTTATAATTTTAATTTTAATTATTTTAATTTATATTTTGATCTGTATTAATTATATTATATTTAGTTTAGTTTTTTCTAATTAATAGTATAGTCCCCGGCAAAAGTAGTAGTGTATAACATTTTCATCTATATTTTAATAATGAAGTATTCAAAACTCACGAAAATTTGTAGATATATTCTTTAGAATATTATGAACAAGATTTTCTAATAGTACAAGGCATATTAGCTTAATAAAATTTTGCGGAATTTTGTGTCAAATGTGTTGAATTAGGTATCTACACAAAATAATTTTGAAAAAAAAATTATTTAAAAATATTTTTAATAAGTAATTTTAAAAATATTTTTGTAAAAATATATTTTAAGATATAAAAAATATATGTGTAAGTTTAAAAAAATTTTATTGCATATTTATTTAATAAATACCAATTAAAAAAAGACTTTATTTTGATAAATTTTATAATATAGTGATCGATATAAATATTCAGAATATTAATCTGATATACAAAATATCATATAATATTACCAATTTTAAACTAATACGTGTATAAAATTGAGATTGCTTTATTTAATAATAAATATAATAATATAAATATTTTTGTCATTAGTTTTTACATTTATTAATAAAAAAATAAAAAAAAATGTTACCCATTTCCAAGCATGAAGCACAAAGAATAGTGGTAAGTCAGTTTTAAACAAATAATATTTAGAAACCTGCAGAAATTATATGAATAATAGATTTTTCTAAATCTATAATATATATATAATCAATCGGATTAAAAAATTATTAAGTATTATATCACTTTCCAGATCTGGAAG